GTTTCTGGAAGCAGACCCAGATTGTCTCTCTGAGTCTTCCGAGTGTCCTTCACTCTCACTGTCCTGACTGACGCTGGATCCCCGGTGTCCGCTTGTCCTGGACCCAGATCCTCGAGCCTGCTCAGACTGTCGGTGTCTGGAACTGTCTCTCTGAGGTGGTATATCTTGATCATTAGATCTTGACCTGTTTCTTTTTTCATTTTGTCTCAAATCAACGTCATCGTTAACGGATGCATCGTCTTCTCTCATGTAATATGAGTCACCATAGCCTAATTGTTTCCATTCTGTAGTCATTCTTCCTCCATTTTCATAATTAAATTCACCTTCTTCTTCCTCTTCTGTGTTTGAAGGAGTAACATGTGTCTTGTGCCGTCTCTCTCCTTTTTCAGTAGAGTTTGACCTCTTTTTCTCTTTTCCATTTACCTCATGATGCTTTTTCCCACTACCTTGTCTGTGTCTATGAGTAGATGAATTACGTTTTCTTTCTTCATCTTCTGTATGCGGCTCATGTGTTGTTTCCCCTCTGCCTCTTGGGCTCTTAGATCTTACTTTGTTGCTTTTTTTATCACTTCTTCTTGAGCTCCTGGATGTTCTTTTTCTTTCCTCTTTCTCCTCGTCTTCCTCTATATCATCTCCTTCTTCTTCAGAATGATGACTGTGCTTTGTATGCTTAGGCCCTGATTTGTGGATGTTCTGCCTCTTGGCGGACTGGTAATATGCTTGAGCCAACTTGAATACCATCAGAAAGAACTCTGTGAAGTCTATTTTCTTGTTGTGGTCTATATCCAGGATATGCATGAAGACATCAGCAATATCTGGGTCATCTGGATTCTGTACAGAGGGAAATCACAGAGGGAGACTACATTAGATGAGTCACATTGTCAGCTATTTAATGCAAAGTCAGTTTAGCAAATGTCAACTTTGGGTACCAAAAAGTGGAACCAAGTGTCTTAATTTTTTTCTTTAATCTTTTTTAGCTCATCTGGACTCAGTTCATAAGTATATGTGTTTAACAGAAACAAGTAAATTTAAAGTCTAGTAGGATATTACAAAAAGATATGATAAGATAAGTGCTTCTTTCTGTTACTTCACAAGTCAGAATTTTATATAATCCACAATTTAGTTGTCTTTTAATGTACCCACTTAGTAATTCTGATGTGAGGAAGAGTTTAATAAAGAACTAATTGGCATTCATGTTTTGTAATTAAATATTTATATTATTTTTCTTTTTATTGAGGCTGT